ATATATATATATATATATATGGATATATATATCCATAGTAAGTACAACTCTTGTGCTGAGGGGGAGTGGAACGCTTGAAAGGTTGCCCCGGATACTTGATGAAGCCCTCACACTTTTGGAAGTGATATGGTTACGTGACGTGCACACGTAATGCAGATACGACGTGCTTTGGATGTTGGCCATTCAGAAAACTTTATGAAGCAAACCGTTCTGCTTGATTTCTTGAAAAAATCAATAGATTTATCTATCCATCTATCTATTTTTCTCCATAAGTCTCTCCTCGTACTTAGGAATTAGGTCTACTTCTCGCGATGACTGTCTTTCATGGATTGGTTTTACTGCATTGTGTTCCAGCAGCGCTTCTGGTTTTCTGTTCGTGTTTTTACTTATGTACTTGGTGAAGTTTCGTCTCTGACCTTTTTTAGAGGCTTAGAATGTCATCAACAGTTGGGCAGTGATCCTGGATTGTATCCTGTAGAATTCGGCCAGGTTGCCTAAAATCTTCTCATCCTCAGGATGTCTGTCTTCACTTGTAGTTATTTATATTACGCACTAGTGAATTATCTGACTTGACCTGTGTAATTTCATCCATTTTGGGGCGGGGGTATGTAGAACGTGCTACTTTATTTCGAAATTGCCTCTATCTCAATCAAGTGCCGAGCTCCTAATGCAGATACCTGCACGTCACAGTCGAGCAATGTTGTTTCTGTTCAAAGTTTTCGTGAAAGTATTCCTTCGCGCTTAAACTTCTTTAAATTTTTCATGTTTTTTTTTTAATTTTCATATCACACAGTCTTCCAGTTGCTGAGCGGCGGAACTACACGAACGTATTCAATGCGCTCATTCGCATCTATCGTGAGGAAGGCTTGACTGCACTATGGCGGGTGAGTTTGGACCTTAAATCTTCATTGGTTCCAGTGGGAACGCTTAACGGTTTGTTGTGGATTTTCACGTTGCGACCTTTGCGAAAATCTTGGAAACAACTTTCCGATTGGACCCAAAGGTACAGTTGGGTTATGTTGTGGAGGTCCAAGTTGCTGCTGACAAAATGGGATGAAGACGGTACTCGTCAGCAAAGGAAGCACGAGGGTCGAGGTACCACCAGGCTACCCAGGCCCATACAGGAGCAATCGAAATGCAGAAGGTTGGTTCGAACTACAGACCTTCTGGCCAATAAGTTCCTCCCCTAACCACCGAGCCATCTCAAGCCTCCAAGGAATTCAAGGGAGGGACAATACATCCACTATCAGAAGACATGTGTAAAACTGTAAAACAGTAGCCTAGAATACCTTTTTAGTCTGAGGCAACGTAAGTCTAATTGCCCGGTTGTCAAAGTTTGGTGAAGATCGGGTGGAGTTGTTTGAACGGTTTACTCTTACCCACTCCTCAAAACATCGGTGAACCACACTGGGGCAGTCATAACTACACTGCACAACCATACGCGGTTGATGATTATGTCGATAAAAGACTATACCCACAAGTTCGAGATTTCCGTGCATCTCTGCGCTTAGGTGGTCCCTTCATTTAGGGGCTTCAAATTGTTTTCTATCGCAAGATAAAACGGTTTTTTTTACCCTAACTTGGGGAATATCGTATACTGGTTTGGAATTTCCTCCTACTTGTCGTCCATCGTGATGATCCACGACTGCCTTGATCCAAGGAAGACGACGTGGACCTTACTCTGGTCCGCTTGGTCGTATTTTGTCTTGGATTGTTTGATACAACCCCGTTGTGTGGCTCATTTGTTAGAGCGCGAATTAACTGACCGGAAAGTCCCTGCTTCGAACCCGACCTCTGCATCTTGACTTCTGTCTACGCGTCGGCAACCCGGCCGTCGCGCGTTTTTTGGGTGGCATAGTAGCTGGGCACTGAAAAGGTGTTACAGCTGAACGGTTGTCTTTTACCATTATCTACAACGTTGTTCTTGTCACGTGACAAATGGAAGTAGGCGGTATCCGGCTAGTACGTTAGCTTTCATTACTCTCCTGTTTATGTTGCATGAGTCGCACAATGACTCGCCGTAACGCTCAGGACATCCCGGACAGTTAAACCTACTACGGTGCTAGAGGTGATTATGCGGGCCAAACAGTACGCTAGTACTAGTTGACCATATTTGTGTGCCTTGCTTGCGTCTCATGGGTGATGCGGACCACCAGACCACCTTTCGCAGATCTCAACTGCTCACTTGTTCACACCGCAAGTATTAGCCAGCAGTTGGGCGTACTGATAGCCTGAGAACTGTTCCCATCTATTCACCATCAAGTGTAAACCGATTACAGTGCGTTCAGATGGATAGAAACTCGCCAACCGCGTGAGCGCAAAGGTCCCGCATCTTCCCTCAATGTGGCGGACCGGTTCTGTAACACACTGGACCATTGTTGGATATAAAGTTACCCCGTTGGACTCCGGCCACGGAATCTTAGGCCGAAAAACACCCCTCAAGGGGTTATAAATGGCGAAGCGGCGAAAGCTTCGACCTCATATCCTTTCACGGTTCACGTGAACTCTTGGACCTGCAGGCGATCGGATTCACCTTGCCAACGCGCTGGTATGTCAAAAACACTACGAGGACGGACCGTCCGGTGGACAGTCGTCCCATTCTACATCGCACTGGTCATCGTCTGAACGGATGTCTGCTTTTGCATGTGTCATTGTGCGAGATTTCATCAGTGTTTTTAGCCTGACCTTTGTTAGTGGATACACACACACTTGGTATTCGTGCACCAGTCTGCATACCTGTGTGATTTTCATAGACTTGCTTGTTCAAGTTTTCGCAATGCGATAAAGCCAGTTGGTGCACACAGACCCGTTGAGATAGAAAACAACTACTGTATTGATCGAATTAATTACCACCGTTCTCATCTCCACCAGTCGTCTCGTGCACGAAAGAAATGTGAGGGATGGAACTTCAGGGAAAGTCTGTCCTTCCTATGGATGGCAAGCTTTTCGAACGGGTGCCAGTGGCCCTTCAGGATGACCATTCGTCAGTCATTCCATCTCAAGTTAAAATCCTGCACCTCCGAGTGAACGGAGCTCGGAAGGCCACAGAGTTGACCACACTGTGTGATGATGACTACTCGAACCCACATCTTCTGTAGCAGATGTTGACGATAAGTAATCAAACAGGGAGCATGAACTTCGCACCCATTACTGATTGACCCAGGGGATCAAAATCGTTTTTTGACGTCCCCAGTCAACTGTGAGATAACCACAGTAAAGGCCGCAAGCATTTTGGCTCAATTAACGCAATACGGACAAGATCAGTATCAATAACAGTAATAATAAAAGTCGCTTAGTCGTAACACCCTTCCGGTGTCATGCCATCCGAAGAAAGCAGAGGGGAGCTGAGATAACGCCAGATTACCCAAGTCCAGACGGGAGCTGTCGAAATGCAGAGGTTGGGTTCGAATCATCGGCCTTGTGGTCACTGAGTTTGCGCCCTAACGACTAATCTATCTCGAGCTGTATCTCGAAACCGATATATATATATATATATACATATGGATATATGGATATATATATCCTTATTAAGTACAACTCTTGTGCTGAGGGGGAGTGGAACGCTTGAAAGGTTGCCCCGGATACTTGATGAAGCCCTCACACTTTTGAAGTGATATGGGTTACGTGACGTGCACACGTAATGCAGATACGACGTGCTTTGGATGTTGGCCATTCAGAAAACTTTATGAAGCAAACCGTTCTGCTTGATTTCTTGAAAAAATCAATAGATTTATCTATCCATCTATCTATTTTTCTCCATAAGTCTCTCCTCGTACTTAGGAATTAGGTCTACTTCTCGCGATGACTGTCTTTCATGGATTGGTTTTACTGCATTGTGTTCCAGCAGCGCTTCTGGTTTTCTGTTCGTGTTTTTACTTATGTACTTGGTGAAGTTTCGTCTCTGACCTTTTTTAGAGGCTTAGAATGTCATCAACAGTTGGGCAGTGATCCTGGATTGTATCCTGTAGAATTCGGCCAGGTTGCCTAAAATCTTCTCATCCTCAGGATGTCTGTCTTCACTTGTAGTTATTTATATTACGCACTAGTGAATTATCTGACTTGACCTGTGTAATTTCATCCATTTTGGGGCGGGGGTATGTAGAACGTGCTACTTTATTTCGAAATTGCCTCTATCTCAATCAAGTGCCGAGCTCCTAATGCAGATACCTGCACGTCACAGTCGAGCAATGTTGTTTCTGTTCAAAGTTTTCGTGAAAGTATTCCTTCGCGCTTAAACTTCTTTAAATTTTTCATGTTTTTTTTTTTAATTTTCATATCACACAGTCTTCCAGTTGCTGAGCGGCGGAACTACACGAACGTATTCAATGCGCTCATTCGCATCTATCGTGAGGAAGGCTTGACTGCACTATGGCGGGTGAGTTTGGACCTTAAATCTTCATTGGTTCCAGTGGGAACGCTTAACGGTTTGTTGTGGATTTTCACGTTGCGACCTTTGCGAAAATCTTGGAAACAACTTTCCGATTCGTATTGAGTTTACTCAACTGTGCACGCCCCTTTATTTCTGAATAACACCGGCACACCAAGTCGGATTTGCCCTGGAAGTTAGATTTGTCTAATTCTTTTCGGTATCATCGTCAAAGCCATACAAAAGGAGCTTGGACAGGACGACAAATTAGCCTCGGTGGATCTGTTTGAATCAAGGGCTGTTAATGATGTACTGTGTCGATTGTCCTCAAGGTGAACTGGATCTCTTAAGACCCTATAACAGCAATCATCGCGACAGACTGGTAGGCCAGGTCGGGCCTTCCTCCCCCTTAGCCCATAATAGAAGTTTTGGCATTTTCTCATCATTTTTCACATCAAGTCAAGGGGAGCTTGCACCAAAGGTCGTATTTTCTCATACAAAATCGAGTGGTTCATATTTTAAGCCTATAGAAGCACTAACAGACATAATGATGCTGAGAAAAGATGGTCAGGCCGGCAAGAAACCTCAGTTGCAGGCGAACTATTAGCTCGTTCATACCAACGGGATATCGGTTTGTCTAGGCGTTGTAACTGCTGGACGGTAGTGCAACTCTGTATCGGTCCCTTGGCTTCCTGCTCCGTCCACTATGGTATATCAAAAGGCACGGTAGCTCTACACAGCCCTTTTATGGAGACAAAAGGAGAATCATTACATCTGTATTTATAGGGTAGTCACAGAGTGTTCCACAAGGTCGTGCCAGAATCTCCGTGAGGGGGCGAGAAACGTCGAGTCAGAGATGCTCGATCCGAATTGGCTGGCATTCTGACCAATCAGGGCATGCCTTCGTTTGGCCCGTGTCCTGCACGTGATACATCTGTCCAAATGATGTGATGTTCGGTTATTAGGGACGATTGGCCTCCAAACACTAGGGCAGAACAGAATTGCGGTAGGTAACAGCACCTGCGGATAAGATTTTGCATTCAACTATTCCGAAGGTAGAGACGCGTCGAAGGGGGTGTTGATGATCTGGAAGAACTCCCAACTCTCGAAGAAAAGTTGTAGAAACCCTCTTTATGTCTTTCGATCGGAAAATCAACTTGGACAGTGAGCGAAATTTCACGGCCTATCGATCCCTGCGACCTGGAATGCCTATCACTATACTGCCGGCATTATGGGGGGTGATGAAATCGGGGATGCGCGTTTGCAATAGATCACAATGGGAAGTGGAGTGGGTTTTTATCTTCTAGGCTCGTACCTTGTGTGTTGTGAACTTTTGGATCAACGTGAATAGACTGTTCAAGTCCACCTTCTGGGAACATTGATGCTGTCAGACGCTTCTTTGTACTCTAAAGGCGACAGTCATATAACCTTGCCGTTGCTGCCAACTGTGAAAGTGCAACTGAGTGGACCATATTCGCTACGGCATCCAGCATTGTGACTGTCAGTAAGCAAACAGGCGTCAGTATTCGGCGAGCAGAGGGCTTTGCATTCCATTTAATACTACCTGAAGTATCTTGACAGAAGGAGTCGAGTTGGAGTGATTTCTTTCTTAGCGCCGGCGTCAGCCATCTAGAACTTTCGCAGCAGAACGGTTGAACATAGTGGTGACTGGTTCGTTGAAGATATCAGCGCTCTGTTTGAGCACTTTGGGGGAGAAATAGCCTGGAGATCACTAGCTCTTCCAAGTTTAAGTCTCTTGGATTGCCTCCAAACCACGTCACCCGCTGCACTGGCTATGATACTGGGTACCAGATGTATCGAATAGGTTGGGATCATCGGTAAATCCACCAATGAGCTTGTTTCTCTTCACAGGGCAACAACGATTAGCAGCTGAGTGTTCATGATGTGTTACAGATATCCCTCAATTACCTGATGCCAATTCGTGGACATGTTTTCATCTCCCGATAAGCTTTCCCTATAAACTGTTCCTGAGTACTCTTAGAGAGCGCCTGCACACAGTGATCGGCGGAACCGAGTTGACCGCGCCTGCTCATGGGGTATTGACCAATAAGTCGGTGCCTGATCCAAGCATTTTAGCAGCCTATTCGAGAAAGCCTGAAAACGACGGGGATTCGTAGTTTCATTGTACATACGTTTGCGAGAGGGTGAGGGTTGAAAACCAATCTAGAACTGAGGTTTACTTCTGTCCTCGAGGAAAAGCCGTAAGGCGAAAGCGCTGTTTCTCGGTGTAGTATCTGGCCAGACAGTTCTCCCGGACGAGGTTGTAACAGGCCGGTTTCCGGCTGCGGTTCAATAGTCTAGTAAGCTTGTCCATCTTTCCTGATAATTAGCGGACGTTACCAGAGTTTAGTTATGGAAAGCATAACCGGTCGTTACCTTTTCGCCTGAGCGCAACTACCCGGCTTGTACCAAGCTTTCTGGTGCGTTGTTGAACGATGCATATGTAATGGTCTAGAGCTGTGAGCTAACGCCTCGATGTGTGTATTTCGTTGGATGAATATCATGTTGGTGTCAGTTGAACCATGTAAGTGTTCCAACTTGAAGCGTTCAACCAATGAGGATATCGATATTGACAAGACGATCAGCTAGGGATCGCAGGAAGCACTGATTTCTCTTTTGTTGAACACATGTTTCAACCTCGGTGGACATCTGCAACATATAAACTTCCTACCTATCGTGGAAGTCACATAAAGGTCTCACTAATGGCACGCAAGGTCTTCATCCATCAATTCATCACGCGGACACATCAATTTCAATCGAATTAGCCCGACGCGGAGCAGCCATAGGCCGAATACACTGCTCATAAGGTTGCTGAAAATTCTTCGACAGCGCACGACCGATTTCGTCCTTCGTCAAGTGGGCGCAGTCCCTGAGTTTCCATCAACCTTATGTTCCACTTGAAACCAAATTGCACAAAGTTAGTGAACTACACTCATTTGCTAACTAATTCGGTTTTTACCTGGAACATAGCTGAATCCCTTGTTTTTATGATGTTTTTCTAAGAACATCCATCCGGTTAGCGAAAGGTCGGCGGTTCGAGTGCACACTTGGGCGTTTATATTTTTTCTTATTGGGGAAACATGGGATTTCCCGTAAAAGAATCTGTGCAATTCTCCTATTGGAAAGTGAGGGCACAAATCAGGCTTCGGGTCCATTCCAACCCAGCTGTTTAACAGCGAAAAGCGACTATAATGACACATAAACACGTGAATAATTGTACCATACCTACGTTCAGCTGCAATACACTTTCGGTGCCTAGCTGCCATGCCACCCGAAGGAAGCACGAGGGCTGGGATATTGCCAGGTTGTCCAAGCCTAGACAGGGGAAGTCGAGAGGGAGAGGTCGGGTTCGACCCACGGACCTTGCGGTCAGTAAATTCGCACTCTACCCACTAGGGCCATCTCGTCCCCACCTCTCGGTTAAGTTGGCTAGTGAGCGCCTCTCTGTTGTATTCTGGGCTTCTGCTGCTGGACCAATGCCGCTGACATCTTATTCCAACCTGATGCTCAGATGTGTTTATAAACATAAAATATATCGCTCAGCTGTAAGACCCTTCCGGTGCCTAGCTGCCATACTACCCTTTGGAAGCATGAGGGCCGGGATATTGCCAGGTTGCCCAAGCCTAGACAGGGGAAGTCGAGAGGGAGAGGTCGGGTTCGACCCACGGACCTTGCAGTAAGTAAATTCGCACTCTAACCACTTGACCCACCTCGCTCGGATGTGTTTATCTCAATGCTGTTCGAAAACGGGAGCAGGGTACCTCTTTTTGGAGAAGGTGGCCAAGTGCATGTTTCTCCCGGTATTCAGCGTTTCCTTTTCATAATGCTGGTTGTCATTTGTGTCAGTTAACTAACTACCACACGAACGCATGTACTTTTTCCTGCGGATAAATCATTTGCTAACCACGAATGGTTGTCGTATCATATGGTGCATCCAGTGATGCGGCATGATTCTTCTCTCTCTCTCTCTGTCCACCCCAGGGTGCCATTCCCACAATGGGCCGGGCTGCTGTGGTCAACGGGGCACAGCTAGCTTCCTACTCTCAAACAAAACAGCAAATACTGGAATCCGGTATGTGTGCTTTCGTGTCATGATAGTTTTGTTTTTGATGTCGCTGATTCTTTGCATCGTGTTTGTATTCACGTGTTTGCTGTGTTGTTTTCCCGGATTTGCCCGTTGCGGCTGACCTTGAGCGGGTTTTTGAAAATCAGTAGCAGATGGTGATTTCGGGGAATCATATGACACGTTTTCCTAGGGCGTGACCTGGGGAAAATATCAGTGTAATGAACCAGCCGAGGAGATAGCGGTGTGCAGGAATGGATTATCTGACATCTCTTTCTTCTTGTGAAGCGAGCGTTCGTTTGTAGGTTTACCGGTGGAGTAACCTCTGGAGAATTATCTGATGTGATCTTCTGCCACTGACGAATTCTGTCTGCTGGCGACGGTAAGCAGCTGAAAGAGAGGCGGGTCAAGTAGAACGAGCTCCCCCCCCCTGCTACCCGATTGTTCCTACCTGTGCTTAGTACTAGAAGTTTTCAATTGGGGTTTTCTCCTGAAGGTGAAACCAATCCATGCTGAATTGCTGGGAAGTATTATAGAGTTGTTTCATCCTTATTAGACATCATCAGCAGTGCGCGTCCCACGAAACTCCGCGATCTCCCAACTATTAGTTTGTACACTGCGGTTCGGCCACGATCAGCTGACTGGCAGTGCGACCAACTCGCACAGCGCCGCTTCTCATCTACTCATGGAATCTACCTCACACTGTCACATGTTGACTGGCTCTTAAAGTGGCGAGTTCTCAGATGGAAGTTCCACTCATCTTGTGAACTCATCTTTCCTTCTAAGCTAATCAAGACGACGGAGTTCCGGGAAGTTTGCCATCCCATTGCATCGAACCTGTTGTCATTGTCGGGATACCAAGAACCTACTTAGTAGCCAAGCTGAATTCGAAAAAGCACAGTCACTCGCTTGATAACTGATGCAGATCACTTCTCAGCGTTGGTTAGTTTGGCACTTACCGGGCTCGACCTACCAGACGACGGATAAAACGTAGGCTTCACTGTTATTTAGAACTTTCCAGTTCTTTTTGTAATGTACTACTCATTAAGTTGCTGAAAATTCGCCGACAGCCCACGACCGGTTTCGCCCTTCTTGGGGCTCATCGGGTAGGCGCAGTCTCCGAGTTTCCGTCAACCTTATGTTCTACTTGAATTATGTCCTACTGGAATCATCACAAACGGGAGATTCAGCTGGGTTCCAGGTGAGTGTCTCGAAGAACCAAATTAGTTTGCAAATGGGTGTATTTCGCTAATTTCCAGCTCTTATTTGCGCAAGAATTATGATTTCAATTGGGCCTTCCCTGTTTACTTTCCAAAGGTGACGCACTTGATGGCACTAATGTTTATCGGACTACTTCATCACGTTGGAACAAATCAGGATATTCATCTGCCTAATATGTATGGAATCGATTGTATGAATTTAAAACCACTGTTTATACTATTTGCAGGCGCGACTAACCCATGTGAAACTGCAACCAGTGTCAAAAGACATGCAATCCTAGGATGGTTTCCCTACATTCGAGTCCCATGCAATCACTGTCGAATTGTTGCAGCATAGTCCATACATTCCCAGTATTACCTTGAAAGACTAAGCAAAAATTAATGCTACATCAATAGTTCAACTTTATCTATAAAGGCAAAACGGTTCCGCAGTTCATTTGAATATGGTTCAAAGCAATCCCTACCTGATGAACGACCTCCCCTAGCTTTTCTATTCACGCGATCGCCATCAGTGCTCTGTCTTCTCAAAAATCCTCTGGTACAATCGTTTACTTCATAGAAGTATTCACAGGATGGTTGGGGGTGAGAGGACTCAGTGCTTAGAGCTCGAGTTTACTGACTGGAAAGTCTGTGGTTCGAAATCGACTTCTGTCTCTCGACTTCCCTTCATGCTTCCTTCCGGTCACATGTCCACAGTGCTTCATGGTTTTGGTGCACAGGATGATGAACCGTGTTAATGCATCAGACACTGATGTGGTTCATTGGGTGTGGGCAATTCGCATTCCAACATGGGCTTTAAACTCATTCACTTATGATGTCTGCCAAAATGTCGCGTACGTAGCATCAGCTAGTTCGAACTGGAAACGTGTCTACCGTCATCCGAATATCTATGAGGTGACACTACGTAAGCCTGCTTCGCTCATTTTCCGATTGTTTCAGGCGGACTCTGTTCAAACGTCCACTCATCCAATGATTTGTACAAGTGGTTCCGATGGCGTTATTGTGGTCACAATAATCGTTCAGCTGAAGCACCCTTTTGGTACCTAGCTGCCATGCCACCCGAAGGAAGCATGAGGGCTGGGCTACTGCCAGGTCGCCCAAAACTAGATATGGGAAGTCGATATGCAGAGGCAGGGTTCGAACCACGGACCTTCCGGTCAGTAAATTCGCACTCTAGCCACTGAGTCATCTCTACCTCATCGTCACAATAGACAGCAATACGCTAGTAATACCTACTGGTGCTTATCCATCATACAATAGTGGGGAAAGAAAGTCTTGGTAAAGGGTAAAAGAAAGGGGAATGATAGGAACTAAATGTTAACCGGCTCCATTTCCTTGGGGAAATCGATCAGGACCATGGTTCGTACATCTTTTACATCCGAGTACCATGCTGAAGTAAGGCGCCATGAATTTGATTGACTCAGAAACCTCTGTGAACCTCATCTGACGCTGGCACGGGCAGCGACTGGCGATGTTTTGCTGAGTAGTCTGTCTAGGATCGGTTCCATATCATGTCCTGTAAGGTTTCCTATCACTTGTAAGCTGGATCATATGGGCCCTCAGCCAGGAAGACGCGAGGATCTCACAGCATTCCGTTTTTAAACAGTCGATTTCATGTTTCATTTCATGTATTTTCGGTCGTGCCGATGACAAATCGAACAAAAAAGCGAACTACGTGGCAGACTTGACAAATCTCACTAGTTATAGGAAAGCTCTTCGACAGCGCATTACAAAACGTAATGCGGCCGAGATTGTTATATTAAAGTACATGGAGTACATTCTCAAGCTTTGCGGACATTCCTCCTTTTCCAACTATGTCTGAGCTGGTCATTCTCATTACGGAGTCGAGGCCGAAAGTACAACTTCAGTTAAACTGTAAGGAGGCCGTGGGGGTGAGACGGCCCAAGTGGATAGAACGCGGATGTACTGACCGGAAGGTCCGTAGTTTGAACCCGACCTCTACCTCTCGACTTCCCCCGTCTAGGCTTGGGCAGTCTTGCCCTCGTGCTTCCTTCTGGTGGCACGGCAGTTAGGCATCGAAGGGGTGCTACAGCTGAACGTGGGGCGCAAACGGTCTCAAACTTGATTGGTTCCCTCCCACCATCTGTTTATCTTGTCAACGGAGTGTTTATGCAGTTGCGGCCAGGCAGATGAAATCTAAATGTTATCCTGCAGCCTGTAGGTTCTCACTGTCGGACAAGAATTTTTCCTAAAAATCGTTCAGCTGTAACATCCTTTCGGTGCGTAGCTGTTATGCAGAAGGAAGGAGGCATGGGGGCTGGGATGCTGTCTGGTTTGCCCAGGCCCGAACAGGAAGGTTGGAAAATGTAGGGCAATGTTAAAAAACACTGGTCGGCAGTGTCCTCAGACGTAGGTCTGGTTGGAACAGTCGATTCTGATAGCTTTTTGCGTGAAAGTATGCTGACTGATTAGACGCCGTTTTTGGGACGCGTTCTTGTTTCGATCTGGCCGTAGCCTAATGCTGAAATATTGAATCTTGTTCACAAAATTCCGGGTTTGTTAGTTGGAGACAGTCGCTCTGTGCTTGTTGGTTCCCCCGCTGGAGCCCTGGACTGTCCTGGCTAACCGGAAAAACATTTTCCAACTGGCGTTGAGTTTCTAGAGTGCTTCAAGAAAACCCCTTTGTGATGTGTGTACCCCATTCATCTTCCTAACTCGTGTATTCAACGTTTTGCGCTTCTAGGTTTTCTAGCGGACGGGATTTTCGTCCACTTCCTGGCCAGCATGTTCAGCGGTTTTGTAACCTCTGTCTTCTCTTTACCTGTCGACATCATCAAGACGCGCATACAGAACATGAAGTATATTGATGGGAAACCAGAGTATTCAAGCATGTCGGTGAGTTTTTTTATTATTCTTTCGAGTAATAATAAATTGTCCTGTGTGGTGATTGGTCAGTTGAGTGTGTGTTCCGTGCTGTGTCCGATAATCGGTCTCACATACGCTAGAGTTATTCGTGCGTATTTAGGGGTGATCAGCGTTACTATCGATCCACGGTGTGAGTACTGCTAGCGTTACTCACAATTCAGATTAATAATACGTACCGTTCGCAGCAGAACCTTTGCCTGACGTGAATAAAACGGGCACGGAGTGCTGACGAACAGGATACACAAGACGACGTGAGGAAAGACGAAATGAGATAAATACGGTGACAAGTCGCATGTCAGCGTTCAACAGTCAATTAAAATGCATCTGACAGCTTCTGAACTCGGTGTTTGTGACGGCAATTTGAAATTCGGAAATGACTGAAAGTTTTATAGGGCGTTACGTCCACTGGTCACTGATTTGTCGCGGGACATTAGTGGATTGCGACCAGTACACAAACGACAACCATTAATGCACACCTGAAGTCACTTCGACCGATCAGGAAACGTTTGGGAAACAGTGCCGAGTACGGCGAAGGGATCGATCACAAATTGAACAACCTGAGCTACTCACATTTTCTATGTTGCAATCCGCCACAGCCTTTAGCATAACAGTGTAAAAAACTGTAGAACGATCGATACAGATGAAAAGCTGGTCGCGAGGGTGAGTAAGCTGACAGATGATCTGCCCAGAGCTGACCTGCATGGAAACCAGTTCGCATACCGTAAACCATACCAAAATTGACGAGACATTCGTACAATTATAGGGTCAGTCGCGACACTCCCGACAGCGGAGGGTAGGCAGAAAAGAGACCCGCACCGATATACAGTGTCTAAGGGGGACATCAAGCGCAGATCTTCAAAAAAACGCCAGAGTCCGACGTGCGAGAATCATCCTTGGATTAGATCATTCTGAATGAGTACGAGTCTAAATGGTTCACTTCCATGGTGTCTTCTGGTGATTTAGTTCAAGAGTTCACCACCGCAGTGTTCTCTGCGAAGCTCCCATCAGGCTCGCAGCTTGAAGCGAATGAAGAGGTGGTCTCTAGGCATCTCATTCAGTTTACTTGAGTTCAGTTTTTCAACTCAAAAGCCGTGCAATGGTTCCATCTGCTACAGCTTCGTTCACTGAGCAGTAGAGCCACGTGTCGGATGTCAATCCACGCACGGACGACAAACGGATATGTGTGCTCAGTATTACAGCAAGTAAGAGATAGGCAGTGGATGGGATAGTTTTGATACAAGGCCGCCGATGGCTGCGTGACACAACCGCATCTGTAAAGTTCAATAATTTCTATTTGCCTCAGCCTGCGAGCCCCAACCAGGGAGACGGCAGTCACCAACGCGACTGACTTGACCGGTGAAAGGCTCTTATGAAAGCCTTCAGACTCGGAAACGAACCATGTAGGGACTGTCCTTGAACCGTTGTCCATCCGGTGAAAGGATGACCGCAGAGGGCTCTACGAAATAAACTGACCAACTAAGTTATCCTGTGGAGTTCGGATAGCTGATCTATCGATGAAGAGTGAACTTGCCCGAAACCTTTTGGGAGTATTTCATCAGAACTGATGCGATATCCCCACCAGAGTCGTGTGAAGCTTCGGAGGCTGGACAGTTTAGCTGTTACTCTGAATCGTTCTCCTCAAAATAAGATAATCGTTCAGCCGTAGCACCCCTTCAGTGCCTAGTTGCCTTGCCACCGGAAGGAAGCACGAGGGCTGGGACACTGCCAGGTCGCCCAAGCCTAGACAGGGGAAGTCACTCTCTAACCACTGAGTCATCTGGGCCATCCGTGGTTCGAACCCAACCTCTGGATCTCGCCTAGTCCTCTCTAGGTTTGAGCAATATCAGCCCGCTTGCTTCCTTTGGGTGACTAGACGCCTGAAAGGTGTTGCTTTTATTGTTATCATTATTGATGGCTTAGACTTGCTTTAACGAAAAGTACCCTCATTTCGGGGATATTCTAAGAGGAACGTTGAACAATTCTTTGCAGTAGTCACATAGGTTTGTATACGTACAATACGGAGTCCGTTAGTTGGATCGAAGCCCAAGTTTCATCACTTGTAGTGGTGGGTTTACCAGCGACGCCTGTAAGTGAACTATGCCCAAGGAGTTATGATCAAGACGCTGTGTCGGACATCGGTAGTCTTTTCTGTGGTTTCCAAATGAGTACTTCCTGAATTATAGGATGTGTGAGGGTAAAGTACCTCCGTGATGATTGTCCTTTCTAGGTGTTGAAGTGAACAGATCGCACACAATGCTTCATTGTTAGGAAGCCTAAAAACGTGCAGTTCTTGAGGTACGAATTCCAAGAACGCGTAGCGCGGGCAGGTTGAACACCGGCTGGGTTGTCAGGAAGACCGTCTGCTTAGCATTCATGAATTGAGGTGACGTAGAACTGTGAGATGGAGCATATGTCCTCGGGGAGTCAGTCGGTGTAAAGCCTGCCCGGATACGGATCATTAGGGACTCCTCCGTGAATTTCTTTTCGCGCGTTATACCTTATTAGTGTACCGCCAGTCATCCGCTGACTGTACAACGTCACGTGTACCGACAGCGAGGCAAAATGTGCCTCTTCAAGGTAGGGCTCACATGGTCCTCTCCACTTGATCAGAGCCGCTGAATGATATGTCGCTTAACCGCTGTCAATTGACTATCATGTTTGTTCCTGTCCAGAGATGGGGGCGAGATGGCTGAAGTGGTTAGAGCACGAATTTACTGACCGAAAGGTCCGTGGTTCGAACCCGACCTCTGCCTCTCGACTTCCCCTGTCTAGGCTTGGGCAACCTGACAGTATTCCAGCCCTTTTACAACCTTCGGGTGGCATGGAAGTTAGGCACCGAAAAGGTGCTACAGTTGAAGGATTTTTTAAATATTTTATTCATCCAGATAGACCGAGCGCTGAAGCATGTTCATGATATGCAACCACCAGACCCATCTCCCATCTTCTATTCGCTATAGAGTTTTGTTTAAATGAATCGATATGCTAAAATAATGTGCTGGTTTTATACACCGATCTTCAGGTCATCATGAACGATTATTTTACCTCACAGTGAAAGGAAGAAGGCCTTCGCTGCGGAGTTATCTATTGGAATGCACCAACTGAACAGTTACAGACTATTGAACAGGGAAACAAAACACTGATGCTTCTTGTTTATAAAAGCTGGGTATCCCTCTTCTTCTAGAACGCGTCTTGCTGGACTTCCCTGAATACTCATCGACTAACATTGAAACGTAAACGAATGCTACAAAGCGATTCCACAAATTCCGTAATAAATCTCACTTTTCAATAGACGCGAAGGGGAGTTGTGTGAAAACCGCACGCTACTCGCATGCTTCATCAGTAGGATTCACCGTTCCATCAGCACCTCGTGACCGTTAGGTGACCCAAACGTTTCGACGACGATAAATTCAATTAATTCGATGGGTGGGAGTCACTTCAACCCTACTGATAAGGTGAAGATTCCTCAGTTTGGAACAGTCCGTGAATTATACCGCGTCCTGTTACGTGATTAAGAGTTTCTTGACCATTCCAAATTACAAAATATCATCTTTGAGCGTGTATGTCATTATTCAGCGAAGTTTGTTGAACACGGCAATAATTTCCTAGGGCTTTTTCTTGGGTCAGGCATCCTCATAAGCCTTCTCTCAAGGTTTTATGTAGTAATTCGTTTTAGGCCGAGGAATGTTTCTTGCTGCAGGAATTCTGTGAAGAACTGTCGCGCCATGATCCTCTCTCTGATGCGTCTTTCATCTTTCAGGACGTCTTCTTCCAGGTTGTACGAAAGGAAAGTGTTTTCTCCCTGTGGAAGGGTTTCACGCCCTACTTTTTCCGCCTCGGACCCCATACCGTTTTGACCTTCATATTTTTGGAACAGCTGAATCGAGGCTACCGGATCTACGTCCTCGGTGATACTGGAGATGCTGGTCGTCATGGCGGGCTTTGAACGGGAATGAGAACAACTCTTATACAAAACAGGTGGGGCGATCCTCTGTCTGGCTCAGTTAGTTTCGCCTCTTTGGCAGTGAAGTGTCAATCGAAGCGCGTAGGCTATTGTTTAGGGGGTTTGTTTATTTGTTTGGCTATGTCTAGGTTTTCCGCACTTTGACGTATCTACTAGGCAACCAATATAGATTTCGAGCAAGGGTCTCAGAGGAACAGCCGCTGAAGTTGACAGCTTACCTCATAGCTTAAGGATCGGTGGTATGGGTGTCGCACCTTCTTTTTCGTTGTAGTAAGGATTAGAATAGGACGCACTCAGATTCCTTGCCTTCCCGACGGCTTACATGTACGGTCCGTATGAGAACCCGCGAAGAGGAACACTGAAAGCCTGGCCTTCCACTTTGAACATGTGGAGTTAGATTTCTAATACGTGTTTCTGCCTACTGTCTTATTCGGCAACCCAAACTCCACCTAGCGTGTGACAAACCGTAGCTCGAAGGTAATCGAGTAAATTCAGTTGTTTCGTTGTAAACTCCCTTGTCGTGGACATTCTTCGTATTCGTATATTTTTCGTGTTTTTTTTCTATTTTCCATCTTCTATGTTTAGTCATTTGTAATAACAAGCAGAGTGGTACGGTTACACGAAAATAAGTGGCATAAAGTTGATGGTGTATCTTTCATCGCGCCGTAAACTTTTTCTCCTTTCCTCACTAATCGGTTTCGCTCCTTTGGTACAAAGGGGGAGCAGGGAAACGAGGACTGCTGTCAGGATTTTCAGGAGTCAAGTCATGAAGAATCCCTTTAGTAAACCACCCCTCTTCACAAGCGACAGGTATGACGATTGAACGATGCACCCTATAGACCACAGGCACCCAGCATCTACACAATACTCTGGATGTGGTAGTCGGAGGCAATGCTACTTCTCGGGTTCCTGATTAGACCGCTCTAGCCTCTAACAGGTTCTTCACGCATAATATGCCGCCATCCACCTTTGATCACCTATGTCTGCTATGGGTGGACTGTGTTCTCACCGATATTTGTAACCGAGGTCCGCCTACGAGGCAACCTTAGGGCGTAGTGCCCGGTGTTGCGAGATGTGACATACCGTGGTACTTAGCGTTAGGCCAAATGCTACAACCCATCTTGCAGTTCTGTTCAAGTCCGACTGCAGGATGCGCGTTTGTTGAAAAGAGGCTGTACCAACCGTCGCTTAGTAACTGGCTTATCCATGAGAAACTTGTGGGGTTTAACACAAAAACCCTGTATTTTCGAGAAGAATCTAAGGTCAGCAGTGTAGTAACGGTATTTTCCTAAGCTTATTTCTCGGTCTGAACCTCCCAAGCTACCGTTCACGCCAAAACAACCATCAAAGGTGCACAATGCCTGAAACCGAGTCAAGGACACCTGTACGGCGCGTCATATAGTGTAAGCGACAACAAATTTCTGGAACTTCTGACGCTTTCTGGACGCGCTGTTGGCAACCGGCCTTCGGGCAATACTAGGGCCTGATTGGCTGTTGGGTCCAGACTTTCGACCAGTCAGATCTCGGCTTGATGCCGGACCGGCAAACGTCCCGAATTTTTGGCCAATCTTGCGTGGGTTGGGCTTCTCAGCCGTAGCAGCACCTAACTGCGAGCGATAAAGTGGGTTCCGTATGGAATTCCGCCTAACAAGTAGAGTCGAGAGCCTTTCTGAAATCCACATAGCAGGTCGCGTTGGCTCCCCGTGCTCAAAAGACCCATCATCTCATCCGTAAAGCGAAGGGTTTTTTGAGACACGCTCTTAATTTTCGGATTTCTCCAGCCGATACCTGGTTTTCTGACAATCTATCCTGCATTTTCTTCTTCAGGAATGGAGGTTTCTCGAATCGGTGTGGGCCCTTCTCTTACGACTAAACACTGCATTTACTCCATTCATTTACCAGCCAGTCTAATGTAGTGATTCTACAGTTGGATGAAGTAGGTTGCGGAAATCTTTGTTGGAGTATTGTTGGTAGTGTGAGGAGATTTGGGATTTTTGTCGAGATTTCGTCCTGTAAGTGAAACCAATCTATGCTGAAAAGCCGAGAAGCACTATGCAGCTGTTTCATCCTTATTGGGAATCATGAGCAGTGCGCATCTCACGAGACTTCGAAGAGTCTCGAACCCGCGACCTCCTGGCTAGTAATTTGAACACTTAACCGTTCGGCCACGAGTGGCCGATCAGCAGTGTGATTCCCAATAAGGATGAAATAGCTGTACAGTGCTTCTCGGCTTTTCAGCATAGATTATTGGAGTATGTCACGCTACTCTGAGCAATTCTGTAGACTGATTAGGCGGGTGCCCTATCTGGGCCGGTTGTTAATGCCTCCATCATCTGAGTAGATTCGGAAAACCTTGGTAGGGAAACGTCAGGCCCATCTGGTTCAGTTGCTATACCACTTCAGAGGTGGAGTAGTGGGGTTTCCGCTTTGGAACAGTCAGTCATAGTCAAGGGACTGTCAATTCAACCCTCAACTCGACAATTCAGGTGAAACGGTCGACTGGGCGTAGCCGTAATATCACTTACAGTTTCTAGAGGTGTTTTCGACCATAAGTCTGCTTTTTTCGCTCCATCCGTCCTACGTCTAGCACATTTGTGATTTGGGAATCTGATAATCTCCATGTGTGCAGTAATATCGCCGGGCCTAGGTCACCTGGTGCTCTACACGCTTGATACTCAGAGTCTCTTTGATCGAATGCTTCTTGTCAGGACATGCCTACGTGTCAAAAGTCAGGTGTTCTCAATCGCTCCTCCAGGTTCAGACTAGCAGCGGTGCTCTGGTTCGTCTGTTGGATAGTTGGACGCATTTCCAGTTGGCCCAAGTGGTTAGAGCCCGAATTTACTGACCGGAAGGTCCGTGGTTCGAATCCGACCTCCGCCACTCGACTTCCCCTGTCTAGGCTTGGGCAACCTGGCAGTATCCCAGCCCTCGTGCTTCCTTCGCGTGGCATGGCAGCTAGGCACCGGAAGGGTGTTACAGCTGAACGCTTTCTTTCTTTTCCACCTCGTAATACTAACTGATAGTTTTTAGTGATGTACACTGTGTGGTACTTACAGCCTCGCGGTCACTGTTACTCAGGGTGACACACCTCTGGATCCTTGGCATCATTTGGAATCCTCGGCAGTCCAGAATGAAAGGATTTAAACGGGATATGAGCGACTGGAAGTGAAGAGGAAGGTTGAACAATTTAAGATGTGGGACTGAGGACTTGATTCCGCATAAAATTCACCCTGGTAATCGTGATAGAATGAAGAATGAGAAATGTAAGAAGAACAGGGTTAGCAGTTGGGTGCGGGGGTTTTCGCTCAGTTTGGTCAAGTTGAGAACAAGACCTGTGCCGTGGTTGTTCAAATATGAAATCTGAAGAAAAGTGGTATTTCTGAACTTAGAAGGGCGATATTCTATCCTTCACAAATTTGCCATAGGACAACGGGGAATTACTTTTAGCAAATGACAAAACAAGCAGCGAACAGATCAGGGGTTGTGAGATTACGTGGGATGTATGCGA